CTGCTGATCTTATTGAAATACCTTATAAACACTTAATTTTGTCAATTTTGTCTCTATACCATAGAGTAAAGCTTTCTCTTTTTTCATCAGGAGTAATAAGTAATGAAAATTCAAGAGCAGAATGTGAAATGTTAAATGAATACAATTCCACTTTAGCAGATGACAAAAGGAAGATAGTGATTTAAAAATTTGCAAGTTTAGAGAAAAATACTAGTGTAAAAGTTTAACAGGTCAAAAATTAAAAATAAATTCAAGTTATATGGATAAAGCCACTTCATGTAGACACAAACAAATGCATATAATGCCCTTTTCCTACTAGATCCTAATGTCAGCCTTCAGAATAAAGTGAGACTGTTATCTGTAAGACGCACTTTCAACCTTCTGGTTATCAACACAACCAAGCAGTTCTTTCCTAATGACATCAGAGGAGTTACCTGTGAAATCCCAAGTACAAGGTGTACTCTGTCAGGACAAGGTTTTCTGTTACCAGGTTGTAGTTCTGGGGAAACTTTGGCTCCTGCACAGCTGGGATCAAACAGGTTTCTTTGTCCAAACCTCAAAGAAATTAAAAGGAAGAGTAGATGGCTTGCCACAGACATCTATCTTGGCTCCAGTGTCCCTTTATTCTAGTTCAACTTCCATCCTGCTATTAGTGAATTAAGTAATATCTTCTTAAAAACACATCTTCTCACATTCCTACTCTCTTGTCTAAAAATGTAATTTGGCTTCTCAGTCTATAGAAATGCAGTTATATCTCTTTAGCTTGATCATGAAATCACCAACAATTAAAAGGAATGATAGCACTGTAGATTTTTCCAGGGGATAGATAATAGATCATTTGTATCTATTCTGTGCTTTTCTGTATTTAAGATTATTTGCTTTTGAGCATGTTACTTTTATAATTAGAAGAGTTATACAACTGGGAGGAAATACATCAAGATTGAGTGATTCATTTTGAGTGGTAGAATTAAGAGTGATTTATCTTCTTCTTTTCACTTCTCTGTATTATTTGAGTTTTCCCCAATATTCTTCCTCCCTAGGCTAATATTTCCTGCCAATTCCCATACCCCTTCCCCCATCTACCCCTTGTTCCAGCCACACTGAGCTTCTCACTGTTCCTTAGTTAAGACATTTCACAGCTGTGTACCTTCATACTTGTTTTTCCCTCTATATAAAGGGCCTCCTTTGCTCCTTTGCTTGATAAACCCAACTCATTTTTCAGGACTCAGCTATGAAGACCTCCAGCTTCTGCAGAATTAATCATTTACTCCCTCCTCTGTGCTCCTGTAGATTAGCCCTAGACCATATTATGATGATCTGTTAACATATCTGCCTTCCTGTGGAGACTTTGAGTTCAAAAAGGACAGGGAATGTACTTTATTCATTTTCATAATGAATGAATGAATGAGCGAATATCCAAGTCTGCCAAATTCAGAGAGAAGGTCTCATTAAAGGACAACATCTAAAAAATAACAGTTTTAAAAAGTTTGCCTTTTTAAAACTCCTAATAGCTTTTCTTTTTGCCTCATCTTCTTTGAGAAAGAGGGACCTCTGTGAAAAAGGATATAGAAGTGAATGGCTTAGATGTTATGCACACACTGTTTTGAGAAGACCAGCTCCCCCTTACCTCTCATGTGTACATTTTTTATTTTTCGTTCTTCATCATTCAACTCCTTCAGGGCACAGTAAGTGGGATTAAAGGTGAGGAGCCGAGAGGATCTGGGTTTGCAAAATGGCTGGCATAACTTCAGGAGAGCAGCACCCAAATTCAGAAAGAAGGCATCCGAGGCATACATTTGGAAGAAGATTTCTGGCATCTGATTGGCCCAAATCTTGGTGCGGCCTGCATTTGCATGCAAACAGTTTCCAAGCCAGGACAAGATACAGTGTTTGGTTTCTGGAGAGAGCTGGAGTAAGTTCTTCAACATCTGGTAGATCTTTTCATGGAACCGAGCCATGAACTGTTTAACCAGAAAACACAACCACAGAACATTCCAGTTTCACAATCCTAATATTTGTTACTATCAAATCTTAGCCACTGGCAATTTCCAAAAATACACAAATCCTAATCTTCTCCCTCACTCTCCCTGTGCCTTACGCCACCATTTCTGATTAAAAAAAAATTTTTTTTTTTTTCTGGGAACTTTTAAGAGATTTCCTGATGAGCTGCCAAACTGCAGGTAGCATTTATATAGCTTTAGAATAGGGGATGGTAAACTTTTTCTGCAGAGGGCCAGATGATAAATATTTTTGGCTTTGCATGCCATAGGGTCTCTGTAGCAACTATTCAACTCTACCACTGTGGCATGAAATCAAGCCATGAACAATACATATACACATGGGCATGGCTGGGTTCAATAAAACTATTTACAAAAATGGGCGGCAGGCTGGATTTGGCCACTGGTATAATTTGCCAACCCCTGCTTTAGAAAGTTGTGATGATGGGAGATTTAAACTGCCCCCAATTCAACCATTTATTGTCATATGTTGGCCAGACTTCTACCATAATTTATACTAAGAAGCCCAAAAATAGAGGGCATAAGTAGAAGGAGGAAAAGGAAAATAATTTGGTTTTTAAGCTGGAGTTCAGTCAGAAGATTTTAGGAGCTAAAGGTAAGAAAAATGAGGATTGAGAGCAGGTAGCTGTGCTACAGCACAGGGCAAAGAAGAGCAGCAGCTTACTCTTAAACCACACAAAGGTCTGTGCTCTGCTCTTAGTGCCTGCTAAAAAGAGGGCCATTTCTGTACATGATTATGGTAGACAGCCAACCAGATTGATCTGCTTTCCCAAAGAGGCTCAAGCAGCCTCATCTGCATCTGCTTTCTGAGGAAACGATACTTAATCTAAGACCAGGGGGCCGGGATACACCGGTAAACAGCTCCACCTGGTGAATGTTGGCCTCTTGTACTTTGATCTCCTGAGGACTGGAACGAGATGGATTCAGGAAGTAGCCATGATTTTCTACTACACCCGGAGTCTTTAATAAGCAGGAGATATTCAGGATTACTCCCAGCAAGGTCTTCTGGTACATCTGCCCATTACTAGGATCCTTGGGCTGAATGTATTCTACAAAAACCTGTAGGAAAAGACAAGCCTAGTTATTTGTCTGTATGATGAGATAAATGATGGGATGAGAGGGCCTCAAAGAGTTAAGATTATACAACAACCAATGTATCTTTCTCTTATTCCATAGGTAATATTACACTGCCCTCAGGATAGGGAAGCATGGAGTATTAAGCTTCCAACTCAACTGAATACATATGAGCTTTCAGACCTACCTTTGCCATATCCTTTTGCCTAGTGAAATACAGAAGAATGTCCAGATATGCGTACAACAGGATCTGGCAGAGTTCTAGATCTTTTATTCGGCCCAATAAAATATCAAACACTGGAAACATGACTTCTGGAAATGTTCGAACTTCCTCATCCAGTATCAAGGCTTCGATGACCTCATCCAGAAACTCAGCTACACCTTCAAAATCTGACAGAAGACAAGAGAGAGAGGAGGCCATAAGAATTTTTAGACGCCTTTACACACAGCTCTCTACTCTTTTGATACTTTTGATAATTCTATTGGTATTCAACCTCAAAGGTCAAGGTGTGAGCTCTCTTAATTTATGATGGAACCATAGTGGCTCTGAGGCTTTCTAATGCAATTAGAGGAATGTTACACTTGGAAATCAAATGTAGAAGCTCATAGATGTTGCTTATGTACTCACGGCCTCCTAGGATGGCTTCCAACATCAAATCTACCAGTTGCTCGTGGATGTTTTGGTCAACATAGATCTCGGGAGTGAGGAGAACTGTTCGGGTATTGGACACAGTGAGGTTCCTGCACTGCACTGCAAAGGGTAGCAGGTTCTCTGGAACTTTGGTAATCTGGAAACAGCAATGAAGAGAGGGAAGAGTCTAGCTCTGTGACCTGGCACAAGGACAGATATAGCAAATAGAAGGGAAAAGACATTGTGTCCCAAAACAGTAGTGCTTTCCTGTGGATGCCTGAAAAGCCATGAGAGTTCATTCTTTGGTTTAAGGAATCACCTAACTGTTAGAAATTCTAATGCTGGAAGTGATCAAGCTCAACCTACTCTGTTATATACACCTTAGTGGAAATGAATTTATCAGACCTTTTTTTTAATAAGGGTGTGATATATTAAGACGTTTGTAGAGAGAATAATAGGAGGCACTTGTTAATTAGGGAAAGGGGTAGACCCCAAGCCACAGAAAGGAGAGACTAAAACTTTAGAAGATAAACTAATAGTGCCTCTGATATCCAGTTCCAGATATAATATGATGTATATAAATTGATATAATAGACACTGATCTTGGGACTTCCCTGGTGGTCCAGTGGTTAAGACTCTGCTTCCACTGCAGGGGGTGTGGGTTCGATCCTTGGTTGGGGAAGATCCCGCGTGCTGCACGGCACAGCCAAAAAAAAAAAAAAAAAAAAAAGACATTGATCCAACTCTCTGGCTTATGTGTTAAAGTCATACCCAAGAGGACAATAGAGTACTCAATACGGATTATTCTTTTACCTCTTCCTTGGCTCTTTGGAAACAGGAATAAAGGTAACAAAAAATGTGCCTCTCCCCTGCATCTCGATCAGCAGAGAGATTCAACGTTGTAGAAGAGGTCATGTTAATCAAGTGGTTGCCTGGATCTTGAAGTAATAAGCGAGTGAAGACGGCCTATTAAGAAAAACAAATAAACAAAAATACTAAATCATTGCAAAGTTAATTTATTTTAAAATTTATTTGACGTATTTTTTATTGAAGTATAGTTGATTTACAATGTTGTGTTAGTTTCAAGTGTTCAGCAAAGTGATTCAGTTACACACACATATATAGCTATTCTTTTTCAGATTCTTTTCCATTATAGGTTATTATAAGACATTGAATATAGTTCCCTGTGCTATATAAGTTGGTCCCTGTTGTTTATCTATTTTATATGCAGCAGTGTGTATCTCTTAATTCCAAACTCCTAATTTGACACAGGTTATTATAAGAATCACAGAACGTAGAACAAATGGGGAAAAAAGGGCTCAGTGTATCATTACTTTATAAAATATTACATATACAAATTTAATTGTTTATGTAGTGAATATTTGTTGAATGGTGTGGAGAATTGGAGATTAAACTCACATGTGAAATCTACTACTCTGCATCATTGCTGACCTCACTCAGTCTTATATAAACACAGTTTAAATGTACTGGGTTGGCCAAAAAGTTCGTTTGGGTTTTCCCACACCACTGTACAGAAAAACCCGAATGAACTTTTTGGCCAACCCAATTATGAAGTTAAACTACAAGTTGTCAAGTCTTCCCTATCAAACTTTTATTCCTTTAATGTTAATTAGGCACCTGTAAGATAAAATGCATTGTTTTGATTTTGGAAAAGATATAAAAAAAGAGATGGACCTTGGCCTTGATAAATATTAGTGTCTATGGGAGAGAGAAGACAGGTTCATAAAGAAGCCAAGACATGAGACAGAAACAGACAGTTCCCATAAGAGATGCATGGAGATTACTGTCAGAGCCCAGAGGAGAAAATAACTCCTACTTGGCAAAACTTTGTAAACAGGATGGCATTTTAACTAGGTCTTAAAGGATGGGTAGATTTGGACATGGGACCATGGTAGATGAGAAGATTCCAAAAGAGGAACACCACAAACAATGTAAGAGATGGAGCTAAGCAAAGCCACAGTTGGAAAAAGGTGAGCAGAGTTCAGCTGCAAGGCTAATTTTTCCTGAAGGCACATGTAAGGAATGTAAGAACGGTACCTGCTCTACGTTGTTCATATCAAGCCAGTCTTGATCTTCCAGGTCTACTGCCATTTCTTCCAAATACACACAACGGCTGGGGATGCCATTCCCACTTTTCAGGCTTGGGTCACCTGGGAAATGGTTTTAATCTGGTAAGTTAAGGATAATGCTTCTGTCTTATACAGACAACTGATCTTGATGGCATTTCTCTTGAACCCCAAGTTTGACTCAGGTAATATCAGAATGATCTTGCCACACAGAGCAGTATCTACAGATTTAAATATTTTTTACCCCTTGAAGAGTATGTGCTTTGTTATAAACCTAACACCATGACATTTAAAGAGTAAATCCCAGACATCAGCACTAATTCTGGGGTTTAACTACAGATAGGGCACAGAGGGGAAACACTATCTGACCCTTCTTGGGGCTTTCATCTAAATGTTTAGGTCACCTCTGAGAAGAAAATGGATTTAGCTACCATTCCCATTTCCCTTTTAAGGTAGTAAAGGCAGTAGCTACATGGCCCAGTCAGTATCAAAATAGAAATGAAAGTTGTGTCTGTGTCAAAATTCTGCTTTAGGTCACATTAAAAGCTTCCTTGAAATATAAACCCTGTGTTCCAGGGAGTATGATGGGTTTGTTTAACCATCAGATACAATAAGTTTCTAGGAGCAAGTCCCTAGCCCAAGCAGGAAGGGCAGAGTAATAAATACACTAGCTGCAAAGATGTAACTCACTGTTGTCCAGAGTGATGAGGAAGATCCTTTGGATCATGTGATTGATGTTGAGCTGCTCACATATTTCCTGCTGTGAACGGAATGAGCGGCTAATCTCAGCCACAGAGTAATCAAATTCATCCAGGCTCTCTGACACACTATTATCTGAGTCATCTGGGCTGGCTGGGAGTTCATCTGCCAGAAGATGTAAGTCATTAACAGTTACAATGCTCTCTTTAAGAGAAAACCAAGTACACATGATAAATGTAACCAAGAGGAGGATAATTTTGGGTGTTAAGCAAGTTAACTATCTAATTAGTGAACATCTCAAGTCAGGCAACATCTTTTTTTAAAAATTAAGGTATCACGGACATATTAGTTTCAGGCGCACAACATAATGATTCGATATTTATATATATTGTTAAATGATCACTACAATAAATCTAGTTAACGTCTGTTACCATACATAGCTACAAATTTTTTTCTTGTGATAAGAATTATTAAGATCGACTTTCTTAACAACTTTGAAATACACAATACAGTACTGTTAACTACAGTCACCATGCTGTTCATTGCATCCCCATGGATTCTTTATTTTATAACTGGAAATTTGTACCTTTTGAAACCCTTCACCTATTTTGCCCATCCCCCCCAGCCCTCTGCCTCTGGCAACCACCAATCTATTCTCTGTATCTATCAGCTTGTTTTTTTTTTTTTTAAATATTCCACATAAGTGAGATCATATGGTATTTGTCTTTCTGACTTATATTCCTCAGCATAACGCCCTCAAGGTCCAACCACTGTCCACCTGTTGTTGCAAATGGCAAGATTTCTTTTTTATTTATGACTGAATAATATTCGTGTGTGTATGCATGTATGTGCGTGCATGTGTGTAATTACATCGTTTTCTTTATTCATCTGCTGATGGACATTTAGGATGTTTTCACATCTTGGTTATTGTATACTGATGCAATGAACATGGGGGTGCATATATCTTCTTGAATTAGTGTTTTTGTTTTCTTTGGGTAAATACCCAGAAGTGGAATTGCTGGATCATATGGTAGTTCTGTATTTATTTTTTTTAGGAATCTCCATTCTAGTTTCCATAGTGCCTGCACCAATTTACAATCCCAGCAACGGTGCACAAGAATTCCCTTTTCTCCACATCCTTGCCAACACTTGTTATTTCTTGTCTTTTTGATAATAGCCATTCTAAGAGGTATGAAGTGGTTTTGATTTACATTTCCCCAATTAGTGATGTTTTTTTTCATAGATTAGGGCACCTTTTAATGTACCCGTTGGCCATCTGTATGTCGTCTTTGGAAAAATGTTTATTCAGATCCTGTGCCCATTTTTAAATTGGACTGTATTTTTTGCTATTGAGTAATATCAGGAAACATTTTAAATACAGAATTCTGAAATCCCTGGCTATAAAATCTACCATATTTTAAAAACCAAAAGTTTTATTCTTTGTACTCATAATTAATTGTATTCCAAAATGCCAATAGTAGCAACACTATCTTCCCTACAGAATCCTAGTGGGTAAAGAATTACCCAATAGATCAGTATGCCTTTAATTATATTAAATATGGCTTGGGGCTTCCCTGGTGGCGCAGTGGTTAAGAATCCACCTGCCAATGCAGGGGACATGGATTCAAGCCCTGGTCCAGGAAGATCCCATGTGCTGTGGAGCAACGAAGCCCGTGCGCCACAACTACTGAGCCTGCGCTCTAGAGCCCACAAGCCACAACTACTGAGCCCGTGTGCCACAGCTACTGAAGCCCATGCGCCTAGAGCCCATGCTCTACAACAAGAGAAGCCACCGTGATGAGAAGCCTGCGCACTGCAATGAAGAGTAGTCCCCGCTCACCGCAACTAAAGAAAGACTGCGCACAGCAATGAAGAAGACCCAACGCAGCCAAAAAAACAAAAAACAAAACTTCATAGACTAAAAACTATCCTAATTGTCCTTTTAATGGGAATTTCTCTAATTATTAGTGAGACTGGATTTATTTTTTTGGCTGCACTGGGTCTTTGGTGCTGCACACGGGCTTTTCTCTAGTTGAGGCGAGTGGGGGGCTACTCTTCGTTGCGGTGCACAGGCTTCTCACTGTGCTGGCTTCTCTCGTTGTGGAGCACGGGCTCTAGGCACATGGGCTTTAGTAGTTGTGGCTCAAGGGCTCTAGAGAGCAGGATCAGTAGTTGTGGCGCACAGGCTTAGTTGCTCTGCAGCATATGGGATCTTCCCAGACCAGGGCTCGAACCCGTGTCCCCTACATTGGCAGGCGGATTCTTAACCACTGTACCTGAGAAACCCGAGACTGGATTTTTAAAGTAACTTGATTATCATATATAAATCATTTCTAACTTATTTTTGGCTGCATGGTGTGGCATGGCATGCGGGATCTTAGTTCCCCACCAGGCATTGAACCCATGCCCCCTGCATTGGGAGCATGTGTAGTCTTAACCACTGGACCACTAGGAAAGTCCCTGTTCCTAACTTTTGTTGTTTTCCCAATGAGTTACTTTTTTCTTATTAATTGTATCCTTTTATTTTTTATTAAGCAACTTACAAGAGCTTCTCAGAACGGCACTCACGCTAAAGGGGTATATAAGTAGGTTGTTCATTAAAAGCTACACACAAGTCTGCATCTGCTTTTTCCCTCTACTGACAAAACCGTTAACTCTAAAAGTCCAGGCAAAACTCGCAGAAGCAAGAGTTGTGGGACTTCCCTGGTGGCGCAGTGGTTGAGAATCTGCCTGCCAATGAAGGGGACACAGGTTCGAGCCCTGGTCCGGGAAGATGCCGCATGCCGCAGAGCAACTAAGCCCGTGGGCCACAACTACTGAGCCTGTGCTCTAGAGTCCGTGAGCCACAACTACTGAGCCTGCGTGCTGCAACTACTGAAGCTCAAGAGCCTAGAGCCCGTGCTCCGCAACAAGGGAAGCCACTGCAATGAGAAGCCCGCGCACCACAATGAAGAGTAGCCCCCGCGGGCTTCCCTGGTGGCGCAGTGCTTGAGAGTCCACCTGCCGATGCAGGGGACACGGGTTCGTGCCCCGGTTTGGGAGGATCCCACATGCCGTGGAGCGACTAGGCCCGTGAGCCATGGCCGCTGAGCCTGCGCATCCGGAGCCTATGCTCCGCAATGGGAGAGGCCACAACAGTGAGAGGCCCGCATAACGCAAGAAAAAAAAAAAAAGAGTAGCCCCCACTTGCCACCACTAGAGAAAGACTGTGCGCAGCAACGGAGACCCAATGCAGCCAAAAATAAATAAATAAAATAAATAAATTTATATATATATATAAAAAAAGAATCCTCCTTTGAATGCAGGGGACACAGGTTTGATTCCTGTTCGGGGAATTAAAATCCCACATGCTGCGGGGCAACTAAGCCCGTGCTCTAGGGCCTGTGCCCCACAACTAGAGAGGCTGTGTGCTGCAACTACTGAGCCTGCGTGCTCTGGAGCCTGTGTACCACAACTAGAGAGAAGCCCTCACACTGCAATGAAGATCCTGTATGCCTCAACTAAGACCCGACGCAGCCAAATAAATTACTTTTAAAAAATAATAATAAATAAAAAATAAAATAAAATATCTTAAAAACAAAAAGAAGCAAGAGTTGCTTCACTGTGGTGACTTTAGTAAAAGTGAAGCTCAATAAAGGAGGCCAAAGGTTTTGGTAGAGTACTAACTGCTGGTGGAAAACAGGTTAGATCAGGTGGCCTGACAAATTCACTGTAAACAAACTAAGATGATGAGGTGCCAAAATAGTAACAAAAGGGCATGCACCTGATTTGTCCTCACTGCTTGGTGCCTGCACTGCTCCCAACCCTAGCCAGCCTTATGTCTGTTTATAGCCAGAAGGATGAGAGTTCTGTCACTCTATTCCTATACCACTCTATTCCCTTTTGAATTCCAAGAGTAATAGGTGCTGATTAGCAAAATTTCCCTCAACCACATACTTAAAAACTTTGTTTTCTCATTTCCTTATTTTTCCAACTCCTCACTCTCCATTCTCTCCTACAATCTCTTAATCCAAGGTTTCCCATTCTGATCCTATATCTTAGAAATCTGGGGAAGTTTTCAGAGACGGAGACTCAGAGCTGCCTATTTCTATCACATTTAGAAAGTCAGCATTACATGTATTTCTCCCTTGTTTCATCCATCACTTTGTCTACTACTCATGTGTCTTCCCCTGACCTCCTTTTTTTTTCTTCTTTTTTTAAAAAATTAAAAAAATAAATTTTTGGCTGTGTTGGGTCTTCATTGTTGTGCGTGGGCTTTCTCTACCTGTGGTGAGCGGGGGCTACTCTTCGTTGTGGTGCGCGGGCCTGTCATCACGGTGGCTTCTCTTGTTGCAGAGCATGGGCTCTAGGTGTGCAGGTTTCAGTAGTTGCAGCATGCAGGCTCAGTAGTTGTGGCTCACAGACTCTAGAGCACAGGCTCAGTAGTTGTGGCGCACGGGCTTAGTTGCTCCATGGCATGTGGGATCTTCCTGGACCAGGGCTCGAACCTGTGTCCCCTGCATTGGCAGGCAGATTCTTAACCACTGTACCACCAGGAAAGCCCCCTGACCTCCTTTTTATCCAATCCTAATCAGAGAGTAAGGCCACAACTTAGCTACATATCTGAATACTTCTGAAATAAACAAAATAAAGGGAAAATATAAACATTTCTCCTTTCCTAAAAACAATAACACTATTATTCTTTTTAGAGGAAGGAGAAGGGGAGCAATTTCTGGCTTGTAAGATTGTGAATACCCTCAGAAGACTAATATATTTGAGAAACAGCATCCTACTTCTCCTAGTCCATATGTTACCTTATAGGAGGGAGGTAGACTTGATCTTAATTTTGGTCCCAGATGAGGAAAATCATTTTTCTGATTAGTAAGATATTATCCTAATTTTTTTCACATTAAGGTTAAGGATCAGATTTTCCTAGATGTCTGTTCTGAAAGCAGTAAGTTATGAAAGTTGGCCACTCTATGGAGTGAAAGAAGCGTTCTGCTTGAGATAGACTCTGAAGCACTTGGCTTAAGAACAAATCTCATTTATTTCTCTACAGGCCAAAAAGCTTTTATAATTCTTCCTTCAAAAAAATAAAATAAAATATCTTAAAAACAAAAAGAAGCAAGAGTTGCTTCACTGTGGTGACTTTAGTAAAAGTGAAGCTCAATAAAGGAGGCCAAAGGTTTTGGTAGAGTACTAACTGCTGGTGGAAAACAGGTTAGATCAGGTGGCCTGACAAATTCACTGTAAACAAACTAAGATGATGAGGTGCCAAAATAGTAACAAAAGGGCATGCACCTGATTTGTCCTCACTGCTTGGTGCCTGCACTGCTCCCAACCCTAGCCAGCCTTATGTCTGTTTATAGCCAGAAGGATGAGAGTTCTGTCACTCTATTCCTATACCACTCTATTCCCTTTTGAATTCCAAGAGTAATAGGTGCTGATTAGCAAAATTTCCCTCAACCACATACTTAAAAACTTTGTTTTCTCATTTCCTTATTTTTCCAACTCCTCACTCTCCATTCTCTCCTACAATCTCTTAATCCAAGGTTTCCCATTCTGATCCTATATCTTAGAAATCTGGGGAAGTTTTCAGAGACGGAGACTCAGAGCTGCCTATTTCTATCACATTTAGAAAGTCAGCATTACATGTATTTCTCCCTTGTTTCATCCATCACTTTGTCTACTACTCATGTGTCTTCCCCTGACCTCCTTTTTTTTTCTTCTTTTTTTAAAAAATTAAAAAAATAAATTTTTGGCTGTGTTGGGTCTTCATTGTTGTGCGTGGGCTTTCTCTACCTGTGGTGAGCGGGGGCTACTCTTCGTTGTGGTGCGCGGGCCTGTCATCACGGTGGCTTCTCTTGTTGCAGAGCATGGGCTCTAGGTGTGCAGGTTTCAGTAGTTGCAGCATGCAGGCTCAGTAGTTGTGGCTCACAGACTCTAGAGCACAGGCTCAGTAGTTGTGGCGCACGGGCTTAGTTGCTCCATGGCATGTGGGATCTTCCTGGACCAGGGCTCGAACCTGTGTCCCCTGCATTGGCAGGCAGATTCTTAACCACTGTACCACCAGGAAAGCCCCCTGACCTCCTTTTTATCCAATCCTAATCAGAGAGTAAGGCCACAACTTAGCTACATATCTGAATACTTCTGAAATAAACAAAATAAAGGGAAAATATAAACATTTCTCCTTTCCTAAAAACAATAACACTATTATTCTTTTTAGAGGAAGGAGAAGGGGAGCAATTTCTGGCTTGTAAGATTGTGAATACCCTCAGAAGACTAATATATTTGAGAAACAGCATCCTACTTCTCCTAGTCCATATGTTACCTTATAGGAGGGAGGTAGACTTGATCTTAATTTTGGTCCCAGATGAGGAAAATCATTTTTCTGATTAGTAAGATATTATCCTAATTTTTTTCACATTAAGGTTAAGGATCAGATTTTCCTAGATGTCTGTTCTGAAAGCAGTAAGTTATGAAAGTTGGCCACTCTATGGAGTGAAAGAAGCGTTCTGCTTGAGATAGACTCTGAAGCACTTGGCTTAAGAACAAATCTCATTTATTTCTCTACAGGCCAAAAAGCTTTTATAATTCTTCCTTCAACAAATCTGCTTTCTACAGCTGCATGTGACTTGCTTTCCACACCTACGCCTATAACCTCAGTTTCCTATGTAAAAAAAAATTAGTATCCTTGTTATTAAGTATCTTTCAATAGGTGATTTTTAAAATAAAAGAGCTTGACAGCTTTGGGATCATGACTGGCATCTGTTACTCTAGAACCACCTGTTATCTGGTCTCTTCTTTATGCAGGGGATAGGACAGGGAGAAGAACCCAAAACAAAACAAACAACAAATATGAACCAAAAAAACACTTCTGCCCTAAACTTAAATTCTAGTTGCAATTAAGGACCCAAAGAATACTTAATTTGGGAAGACCCCATTCTAGGTCATCTCATCTGCTGCTACTGGCTTGTCCACTTACCAGATTGCTGCTTCAGCTGCTCTTTTTGGATTGCTGCAAACTGCTTGGCATCAGCCAGGGAGCCAAAAAGAGCAGCAAAGGGGTTACTTGAGATGTTGTTGTTATTCTCCTGGTCTGTCATTTCACTTTAAAGTATCCTCCATCCAGACCTAGGGGGAGGGGCTATAGAAAGGACAGGTATTAGACGCCGAAGGGCAGATAACGTAACAGTTATAATATTATCATAGTTGTTTCTTCTCCCATTTCTTGAATACATTTTGAAAGGGTTTGGGTAAGACTTGCCAACTCCTATTCCAAGATTCAAGACAATTTTTGGCAAAATGGTTAAAAACCTACCAACTGGACAAGTTGGCTTGATGTGGGGGTGGCTAAAACCAAAAAGCTTAAAAAATGTTCAGCTGGAATGCATTTATCTATTGACATGTTTCTATTTACTATACCTTTAAAAAATAGATTAAATAGAAAGAATTATTGAAGTCAAAGAGGAAACTCAGCTACTAATTGTAACAACAATGTGGCACTTAAAAGTAATATGACAAAAACTATGGATCTCCCATAAATCCCTAGGCTGGCTGACTAGTTCTCACTCACCACAAGCATAAGGTGGTGCTTGCACAGGCTTCTGTGACTTAAGAGTTGGAGCTGGGAATTCCTCAGCTACACAGAAACTAAATGTAAGTCTGTATGTCAGATGTGGAATTGCAAACCAGGACAGGAATCCGATTAGCAGCATATCGTGGGTTTTAAATCTATATTAAGCAATCTATCTCTACTTCTAGGCTTATGACTACTGATATTTTTTCCTCTAAAAACTAAATGGTCTTTGCTTAATTCTATATTTAACTTTCCCTATTTATCTGACTTTACAATACTGAAGAAACACAAATTCCTAATGTATACTATGAAATAGATATATACCTCAAAGGTATTTAAAGGAGCTGACTGAGCCGGCATTTGCACTCTTCTGATTACATTTCCTCATCCAAGCGCCAAGGGGACTCAGTGGGACAATGGGATGAGCAGAGCTCCCTGAAAGGCTTTCTCCCCTTTCTGAAATTTTAAGGCCAAAGCACAGAAATACAACCCTGAAAAGGGCGAGAAGAGACAAAGGGTATGAATATTCTGCTTACAAGGATGCTGAACTGCTACAAGGACAGAGGCCTTAGAAGGAGTGGGGTCAGAGACATAAATGTGGGAGAAAAAAAGAACGTTCGGTCTACCTTTACTTAATTGAATTAAGACTCCTTACAGAATCCTATTAACAAAAGCTAATGCAAGTCAGAAAAGTTACCCTTATTTTTTGGAGGAAGAGAGACTAACACTTTTTGACACTTCTTTTTTTTTTCTTCTACTTTTATTTTTTATTTATTTATTTATTTTTTAACATCTTTATTGCGGTATAATTGCTTTACAATGGTGTGTTAGTTTCTGCTTTATAACAAAGTGAATCAGTTATACATATACATATGTTCCCATATCTCTTCCCTCTTTGTCTCCCTCCCTCCCACTTTTTGACACTTCTGAGGCATCTCTACCAGTTGCTTCATGCTCCTGTCGTGCTTTCTGCATAAGAGCTAATGGCTACTGAGCTGTAATGACTCAGGCAGACAGTCTAGTCTTGTCTCAGCATGGTGCTGGGCTTTACTGCTTCAAGGAACTGAACTGTTAGATGTTGATCTATGTATTTTACTTTCTACTATGTATAGTTTAGTTGAGCTTAATAATGCAGAAAAGAAAGACAGCATATTTAGTGTTGGAATTAACAATCCTTGAGAGGTCTTTCCTCCCATTTAAACATTGCATAAGCTTAATTATTACCCCTAATTCATGTAGAGGCACCAAGAATTGTGTCACTGTTAGCTGACTACCACCCTACCTCTATTCTGAGGTACCCAGAGGAATGCAAAAAGTGTAGTGAGCTCTCGTTATTTTTCTGTCTGCAAAATATCAACCTCTTTTTTCAACATGACACCCACATTTTTCCTTTGGGGATCCAACCCATTCCCGGTCCATGTGTACAGAAGGGGATGACCTTACCCATTAGCTCCAGAAATGCGCATATGAATCTGGCCTGGCCAAAAAGAATACAGTATTCTCTGCCCAAAGTGACTGATTCAGGACTGGGCACAAGACCCTAGTAAGGCCTAACAGAATCAATGAACACCAGCTACAGGCCTTTGGCTAAATCTACAGAAAAGGGGACTCTTTTTTCCTGCTTGGGTTGTTAGGCTAGTAAGACAGGAAACTGGAGTTGCCATCTTTCTACCACCTAGAGAAGGCCTAGCCTAAAACTAAGCCAACATGTAGGAAAAGAGATGTGAGATGGAAAGAGTCTTCTCAGTTATAAAAAAGCCAGTAGATTTCCCTACATTGTGGAAGCCAATACAACTGAAAAGAGCTCAGATTAGTACAAAGGAAATGCATCACCTGTACCATCAATGCAGAAAGGAAGCGAGTTGAAACCTAAGAATCAGAACATAGGACACAGGCTCTTAAGACTATCAAGAGAGATAAAGAGGATTTATAATCACAAACGGCATTATTTCCTCCTTTCAATAATATACTGTTGCAGTATATAAAGCTAGCTTCCCACTACATTTTACCTATATTAACAGGATTTATAACTTTCTACACTGTATTCCTAATGTAGATCTTCTATCTTACTAGAAGGTAAGCAATTTGAACACAGGTTCATATCTGATTATTTTTTCTTCTGTACCTGGCATAGTCCGTAATCACAAAATCCCAAATAAATATGTATTGAATGATTCAATCTTACATGTAATTACTCCTGACCTTCTTGTAATCAATAGCAGCACCCATAATCCTACTTCAAGGTAAGGGTTTTACTGTTAGTCCTGGGTTGCAGTGGAAGGTCAAACTATTGGGCCAGACACTTGTGGCTCTTTGATATCTCAGAACGTGTAGAATAGAGAATGGAAATAAATCTCTGTTGTCATCTATGCTGTCTTTTTGAAAAACAAAAAGGGCTTTGCCTACCTCACTAAGCTCAACTTTCTCATATGTACTTAAAATCTATTTGAAGTAGTGCAAAAACTATTTTCATAGAAAAATAGCTAACACTGTGCAACCAGGAAAAGTTTACAGGAGAAAGGAGGACTGATCACTTGACGGGAACCTTTGTGGAGATGTCAGTTTAGATTTGTTCAATGATCACACAAATGTAAAAAGAGTACCCACTCCAAAAGAAAGGTCTGATAAAATGGCACCTTGATATTTTGTTTACTATTCAATGTCATCAGGAATTTATAATCTCCTACTTTCAACCGCCATACAAAGATAAAGTACTATCCTGTTGTCAGCCTTTGGCAAATAACCAATCAATATAACCACCAATCCTTAGATGTTTTTGGATTTGGTTTTTAAAAGACATCCTCTTTATTTATTTATTTACTTTTGGCTGCACGGCTTGCAGGATCTCAGTTCCCCGACCAGCGACTGAACCTGAGCCCTCTGCAGTGAAAGCACCGTAGTCCTAACCACTGGACCACCAGGGAATTCCCCCAAATAAGTCCCCTTTAAAAACACATTTCCCTCTTTTTTTTTTTTTTTTTTTGCGGTACGTGGGCCTCTCACTGCTGTGGCCTCTCCCGCCGCGGAGCACAGGCTCCGGACGCACAGGCTCAGTGGCCATGGCTCATGGGCCCAGCCGCTCTGCGGCATGTGGGATCTTCCCGGACCGGGGCACAAGCCCGTGTCCCCCGTATCGGCAGGCGGACTCTCAACCACTGCGCCACCAGGGAAGCCCCACGTTTCCCTCTTATACGCATGCTGCAAGACTCTACATTGATAAATGCTGTCTATCTCCAGTCCTACAAAATCCTCTCACCTCTCACTCTTTATAAAGAGTACTGCTAATCCCTTAAGGAGCACTGTCAGCTTTTAAAGAAGTGAGCACATAAACGTTTTAACATCAGATTTGGTACTGCTTTTCAACAGAAATACTTGGAATACTTCACAAAACTAGGATTGTCAAAATCAAGCTTTAGGGTTTCCCTAGTGGCGCAGTGGTTGAGAATCTGCCTGTCAATGCAGGGGACACGGGTTTGAGCCCTGGTCTGGGAGGATCCCACATGTCACGGAGCAACTATGCCCGTACGCTACAACTACTGAGTTTGTACTCTAGAGCCCGCGAGCCACAACTACTAAGCCCGTGCATCTAGAGCCTGTGCTCCACAACAGGGGAGGCCACTGCAATGAGAGGCCCGCGCACTGCAGCGAAGAGTAGCCACCACTCGCCACAACTAGAGGAAGCCCACGTGCAGCAACGAGGACCCAATGCAGCCCAAAATGAAATAAATAAATTAAAAAAATCAAGCTTTATTAAATTATACTCCATAAGGTCTCTTTCCTGGTGAGTAATACATAGATCAAACCAAAAAAGGAATTTAAAAAATGTTTTCATTGTTACACGTTCAGGCCTTTGTTGTGGCAACAGATCCTTCCATCACATCAGCAAGCTAGAAGGATCTCATCAAGTCGCAAAGCACACAGCATTCCTTCCTGGACCCCATTTTATCTCAGGACGGCTCCCAGGTGAGACCAAAACAGACCAAGGCAGTGAGACTAAACATATCCTTGTCCTGGGAGTGAAAAACTGAATCCAAAGAGAAGACCATCAAGTATAAGCTCCTGAGCTCTGGTTACTCAATTTTAGAAATGTCTTCTAAACCCAACTGCTGAGGGAGCAAGAAGCAGAGTGCCAGGAGAGTTTTGAGTGGTGAACTGATCACCTGCTTTTAGAAATATCAACACCTTGCCATATGGATTCGACTGGTTTGACTACTGCGACTCGTGCTTAATTTTCTCTTCTTTGGCACCTAGCTTTTTGTTGTCTACTCTTTACATTTTGTCCCTCAAGGTTCCATAAGGGATTCGCGGCACAGAGGGAGACCCACCCACTCGGGGCACGTTCTAGAGAAAGAAAACCAAAGATAATGCAATGCCAGGATTCGGCCTTTTCCAGGAGGGAAACGGCAAAGAAGGGCAGAGATGCCAGAAGCTGGAGCACTGTATGGGGTTCCCAAAGCAGACAGGGTCGAAGTTCATGAAGGAGACAGTGTTTAGGAAAGCACAGGAGAAGGCATTTGGAGGAGGTAAGAATGCAGACGTTTGGACTGGCATTCGACTAGGAGAAAAAAAATCCCATTGGAGACTCAACGATCCCCTCCCCTCCAGCTATATCCCCTCTTACCAGAGCCTGAGGGCCAGCAGCGACGACACCACAGAACCTCAGCGGCCGAAGCGTTCCCACTTCCGACTCAGCACGGCAACCGGAGCTAACGTCATGACAAGGCGCCGGGCCTTGTGGAATCTCATCTGGGCGCCGGAAGCTGGGTGTGTCGTTCTGCGCTGGAAGCGGGCGCGCAAACATCCCCACTGCGCATGCGCCAACTGGCTTGGGCGGGGCGGAAGTGGCCGGAAGTGGATTTGGGGTTGGATTGGGGGCGGGTCAGGTTGAGTTGGGAGCGGGTTGTGGTGGAGCTCAATGGGATATGCGGCTCTCGGAAACCCATGTGTCAGCGGCACGTATGACTTGGTGGACCCTGGCACTGCTAAGGCCTCTGTGGACCTACGCTAATTGTCCCACCGATCTTAGGCCTTTTTGAAACAGCTTCTGTAACTCTTCATAGATAATTATTATCTATGAAGCAATAACAGTAGCATTAACAATAACTGAAACTTGTGAACTGTTATTACGTACCCGGAAACGTGTTAAGATATGCTTTGATTGGAGTGCAGTTTTCTTATTTGTAAAGTGAAGACGAGTACATCCTAAAGGTTACTTTGAGGTACACAAAGGCAAAGGAAGCAGCATACTTTTCAAGCATGAAAGTGAAAAGACAATTCATAGAGTGACAGAAAATATTTGTAAATAACATATCTGATAAAAAGTTAATATCCAGTTATATAAAAAGCCTATAACTCAACAACAAAAAACCTAAACAACTTGATTAAAGAATGGACAATGGGCTTGAATAAGCATTTCTCTATAGAAGATATATAAATGGCCAATAAGCACATGAAAAGAAGCTCAATGTCACTTATCATTAGGGAAGTGCAAATTAAGACCACAGTGAAATACCACCTCATACCCATTAGGAAGGTGATTATGAAAAAAAATAGAAGATAAGTCTTGGTGAGGATGTGGAGAGATAGGAACCCTTGTGCATTGCTGATGGGAATGTAAAATAGTGGAGCACTTTGGGAACAGTTTGGTGGTTCCTCAAAAAGTTAAACGGAATTATCATATGATGCAGCAATTCCACTTCTGGGTAAATACTCCAGAGAATTGAAAGCAGGGACTCAAACAGATACTTGTACACCACTGTACATAGCAGTATCATTTGTAATAGGTGAAAGGTGGAAACAACCCAGAATGTCTATTGACGGGTAAATGGACAAACAAAATGTGGCATATACATACACATGATTATTAAGCCTTAAAAAGGAAGGAAATTTTGATACTTGCTATGAACCCTGAGAACATTATGCCAAGTGAAATAAGCCAGACACAAAAGGACAAATATTGTATGACTCCACTTATATGTGGTACCCAGAGTAGGCAAATTCAGAGACAGAAAGTAAAATACAGGTTACCAGGGGTGGGGTGAGGGAGGAATGGGGAGTTATTGTTTAATGGGTAAAGTGTTTCTTCAGGATAATAAAAAATTCTGAAAATGAGAGTGGTATTGGTTGCACAACATTGTGAATGTACTTAATGCCACTGAATAGTATACTGTAACACACAAAGACACACACCCCAAATGTTGAGCAATCTTAGAGTGCCTATTATGTTCCAGCATTGTTCTAGCTCCTGAAGCTACAGTAGTGGAAAAAAAATACAAGTTTTCCTGGAGCTTACAATCTGGTGAGAGTGGAGTGGTAATGTAGCATTTAAAATTAATGTGCACAAGGTGGATTATTCAATAAATACTTCCAGAATAAGTGGGTAGCTATGGATTTAAATGTTAGTCAATATATTAGACCTTTACACTAAAATTAATTCAAGGTGGATCAAAGACTTAAATATATAAAGTGAAACCAGGAAAATGCTATAGGAATTAATGGGAGAAGTTTTGTAAAAGAATAATCTAAGAATGGGAGAAGGCCTTTCTAAATAATAAACAACCCAGAAGCCATAAAAGAACAGTGAATTCTACTACAGTCAAATATTTATAAAATGTGTATAGAAAACCAACCATAAGTCAAGTCAAAATCTAAATAACAACGCTGGAAAAATATTTGCAACTAATGCCACAAACAAAAGATCTATTTTCCCAAATATGTAAAGAGTTGTTGCAAGTCAATAAGAAGAAGATCAGGGGCTTCCCTGGTGGTGCAGTGGTTAAGAATCCACATGCCAATGCAGGGGACCTGGGTTCAATCCCTGGTCTGGGAAGATCCCACATGCCATGGAGCAACTAAGTCCGTGTGCCACAACTACTGAGACTGTGCACCACAACTACTGAAGCCCGTGCACCCTAGCGCCTGTGCGCTACAATTACTGAGTCCACTCGTCACAACTACTGAAGCCCACACACTCTAGGGCCCGCATGCTGCAACTACTGAGCCCACGTGCTGCAACTACTGAAGCCCGCTCACCTAGAGCCTGTGCTCCTCAACAAGAGAAGCCACTGCAATGAGAAACATGTGCACCGCAACGAAGACCCAACGTAGCCAATAAATAAATAAATAAATAACACTAAGAGAAGGGGTTATATTCTAAACACCAAGAGTAACAGTAAAAAACAAAAATCAAAGGATATGAGCCTGTATTTCATGAGAAGGAAAAACAAATGGTTAGGAAAATGCAGATTAAAATTAAGCTGAGATGCCATTTTTAACTTATCAGATTGGCAAAGTTCAAAAAATTTAATAGTACACTGTTAGATTGTGTATGGAACAGTAGACACTCTTGTTAGGATTATGTATTGGTCCAACCTTTATGAAGTGCAATTTAGTAATATTTAATTAAATTACAGGTGCAAATACATTATGGTCCTACAATTCCATTTATTTGTATTTGTTACAAATAGTCTTAATGTTCAAAATGACATTTATTGTTAGAAATAAAACTGTAAAAACAAGACATATGAGAAATCTTTGTGACCTTGGGTTTGGCAAGGATTTCTTAGACATGACATCAAAAGCACAATCCATTAAAAAAAAATGGATAAAACAGACTTCAGCAAAATTTAAAACTCTTGCACTTCAAAAGACACCATTAAGAAAATGAAAAGACTAGTCACAGACTGGTAGATATATCTGCAAATCATGTAGCTGATAAAAGACTTGTATTCAAAAATATATAAGAACTTTTACAGTCCAATAGTAAGAAGAAAAACAACTCAAAAAAAAGAGTTTTGAACACACGCCTCACTAAAGATATGATAAGAATAGCTATTAAGCACGTGAAATGATGTTCAACATTGTTAGTCGTTAGGGAATGCAAATTAAAGCCACAATAAGACACTATTTTACATCTACTAGAATGGCTATACTAAAAAAGATAGTAAAAAATATTTGTGAGGATGTGGAGAAACAGGAACCTCATTCATCCATCGCTGGTGGGAATGTAAAATGGAACAGCCAGTTTGGCAAACTGGCAGTTTCTTAAAATGTTATACATAAATTTACCATACAACCCAGCAATTTTTCACTCCTAGATATCAACCCAGACAAATGAAAACATATGTCCACACGAAGACTTGTACGAGAATGTCCAGAGCAGTATATTGTATGACTCCATTTATCCAGAAAAGGCAAATCTAAAGAGATAGAAAAGAGATTAGTGATTGCCTGGCATTGAAGGTGAGAACAAGGAGTGACTGCAAAGAGCACAAGAGATCTTAAGAGACTGATGGAAATATTCTAAATCTGGATTATGGTGATGGTTGTACAACTGGGTAAATTTGCTAAAAATTACCGAGAACAGATGAATCACTTAAAATGAGTGAATTTTATGTAAATTATACCTCAATACAATTAAAAAAATGACATTTATACAGTCATTGTGGCATTGTAAGAGCAAAAGAACAAACTTAAATGTCCATCAATAGAGGACTGGTTAAAGAAATTATAGGGGATCTGTACAAAGTGGCTGCATAAAAAAAAGAGCTCCTTTATATATTGGTATGAAGTAATCTTCAGGTTTTACTAGGTGAGAAGTGCAAGATGTATAGTATGATAACATTTGTGTGAAAAATAGGGGAAGGAAGAAAAATGTGTACTTAAGAGTTTGCTTGGGGACCTCCCTGGTGGCACAGTGGTTAAGAATCTGCCTGCCAATGCAGGGGACATTGGTTCCATCCCTGGTCCGGGAAGATTCCACAGGCCGCGGAGCAACTAAGCCCGTGTGCCACAACTGCTGAGCCCATGTGCCACAACTACTGAAGCCCGTGCGCCTAGAGCCCATGCTCCACAACAAGAGAAGCTACTGCAATGAGAAGCCAGCGCATTGCAGTGAAGAGTAGCCCCCACTTGCTGCAACTAGAGAAAGCCCACGTGCAGCAATGAAGACCCAAAGCAGCCAAAACCAAACCAAACAAAAAATCACGATGCATTTGTCATCCATAAGAAAAAAAAAAGAATTTGCTTATGTATGCCTAGAATACCTCCGATATATAATACTTTAAATATCTTGTAAAGCTATGTAAGAAACTAGTATTATTATTTGCCTCTGTAGAAGGCAAAGAGGGAGGCGGAGGGAGACCTTTCACTGCATATTAGAACCATGTGAATTATGACTTATAAAGAAAGTAAATAAAAATTAAAACTTAAAAAAATAGTATTCAAATAAAGGAGGTTATTTGACCTTTTCGTTTTTCTTTTACAGAAAAATTACTTCCAATAGGTGGCGCTCCTGAAACACCATACAAGTTTTACTTTACTTTTTTTTTTTTTTTTTTGAGAAAAATCCGAATTTGCTCTGATGGCCTTTCTTCTCCATTTGTCACCTTTGGGAATCTTGAGTCTAGATTTAGGGTTGAAAATCTCTACTAGGATTGCTCCAAAATGTATTGCTCTGTTTCTGAGAACTGGATAGAAGGGATAACACCTGGATTAAAAGAGAAAAATTGCAACTGGTTCAGAAAACCAAATAATGCTTGGGCCCTGTTTTCCTGACTGAAATTTCTGGTTGATTGAATTAGAACTTCTGATTGATTGCTTGGGTGATTAGAAGGATAATATAGGTTCAGTGATTCTTAACTAAGGGCGACTTTGCCTCCCGTGGGGATACTTGCAATATCTGGAGATATTTTTG